AAAGCGAAGGTCAGGGCTGAGCCACCCTAAGGCGGTTCTGGGTAGAGTTCCCTGTGCCAGAGGGTGCTCTCGGGACAGGGGCGGGACTGTCGCACCTCAGAACGCTGCCTGAGCGCCTTACAACAGCAGGTACAAGGGGAACACCTTCCTTCTGGAGAGGCAGCTTCACAAAAAGAAGCACTCACCGTTTCCATCTGACAGCCAATGGCCTCCAGCAGCGCCGAGTCCTGAACTATATTCAGCATGGCACCTGAGGAACCAGACACAGGACAGTTACCCACAGACCACAACAGAAATCACAAAGCAGCACTGAAGGTCTAGCATGCATCATCACCACCCTGCCTGCAAAAACTCCTGGAAAAAGTTCTGTGAAGCACAGGATCTGCTTCAGGCTTAGCCATCTGAAACGGATGAGAGCTGGGACAGAGAGTGCCTTCAGCTGTTTCAAAAATGCTTTGAACGCAGGATTTTCAAATTCCTCTGTTCAGAAGGATTTTGGTTTCACCAAAGGGTTGGAATCATTTCTTGTCTTGCATCAAATTGTGCTCATTTAAAAACTCAGGTTACATTTAAGAGTATCTACTGATTCTGGGAAGAAAATAAAAGTATTTTTTAGGTAACTGAAAGAGCTAAAATGAGCTACAGAGTCCAAAGACACCTTGAGGGTTATGCAGTGCTGCCTTGGCTATGTTCTTGCCTCACAGAGAGGCCCCATTGCCCAGTTTGGCCATTAGGAGCCAAAAGGCAGCTGGTGACTGGCAAACAAAAACATGTTTTCAAGTCTTAATGTACTACCAGTACCTACAGCAACCTGCACGAAAAGCATAAATTACATCTGGTCCATTCAGCAACCAACAGAGCAAAGCACCACACTGGTTCTCACACTGACCAGTGACACGAACCCACAAACCACTGTAACACCTTCTAGATTTTATAAACACATTTCTGCCCCTGCCTCAGACACACAAACAAAAAGTAAAGTTAAGGATAATACTTGCATCATTGATAATTTGTCAGTTTGCAGAGCAACTCATAGAATCATTATGGTTGGAAAAGACCTCTAGGATCTTCATCCCAAAATTTCCCTAACCCCTATGGTCTAGTGGTCTGAAGTGCTACATGTACTCATTTTTTGAACCCCTCCAGGGATGGTGACTCCATCACCTCCCTGGGCAGCCCCTTCCAGTGTCTGATCACTCTCTCAGCGAATAAATTCTTCCTCATGTCCAACTGAAACCTCCCCTGGCACAACTTGAGCCCGTTTCCCCTCATCCTATCATCAGTAATTTGGGAGAAGAGACCAACACCAACCTCACTACAATTTAGGTAATCGCAGAGAGCAATAAGGTCACCTCTCAGTCTCCTCTTCTCTAGACTAAACAACCCCAGTTGCCTCATCTGGTCTTCATAAGTTAGACACGGATTTTGTTGAGAAGCTGGTGGCACGTGTGAGAATCTCCAACTGAAGTGGGAACTCATCAGTGCTCTCCAACCAAAGCCAGCAAGAAATAACTTCACATAGGGAATCAGGATTTCAAAAACAGGAATACAGGGGAGGTGGACTGGCAGGGACTATCATGGGAACAGTAATGGTAAAGAAGCCAGCCCCACCAGCCAATGCAAACACCAGCTCGGTCACACGGGAAGCTCTGAGCAGGGCACCATGCCAGGGCTCAGGCAGCTCTGAGCAGGGCACCACACTAGGGCTCAGGCAGCTCTGAGCAGGGCACCACGACAGGGCTCAGGCAGCTCTGAGCAGGGCACCATGCCAGGGCTCAGGCAGCACCAAGGGGGCACCACGCTGTGCCTGGGGGTCCTGCCCAGAGCCAGCGCTGTAACCGCCGCCAGCCTCCTCCCTTCACCGGCACTGCCTGCCAGTCATTCCTTCAAGCTGTTCTCCTCTAGCCTTCCACTAGCAAAGGAACTGGTTCAACCACTGCAAGGAAACCTTGCTGAAGTCTCTGCAGCCTGGGTGTGTTCCCCTTCACTTAATTGCTCATGCCCTTTTCTTGCCCTCCCCTGTGATTCCGATGGGCAGACACTGCCCATCACAGTGTAAGTCTGCCTCCTTTTCAAACACGTCAAAGGAAAAGGGTATTGTAACTACTGAAGGACAAGACCATCATAATGTGGAAATAGGCACTTCTAAAGAGACAAAAATGGTAGGGGGAGTGAGGCAGGATAAAAGGCATGTACATTTTTTACTTGCCTGAAAATCTATTTAACTTGACAGATTATGCAGTGTCCCAAGTTTTCAGCTTCTGCTTACTTCTGAGTATTCAGAAGAACATCAATATGCTCATGACCTCAAAGAACAGTTTGCTGCCAAACTACAATGCACCTCCAGACTCTGTTCCAAAGACTTTGTTTGAGGATTTACACAGTGCTAAGCAAATGCCATCTGTATTTTGCCAGTGCTGGGCCACTGGTCACCCACCATTTCAATTTGTTTCTACGCTTAATCATGCCCAAACTAACACATCAGTCAAGAGTCCTTCCCAACATTAAACCAACATTTTTTTCCTGTTTCCATTCCTAGCTATGACTGACTTCTGCTAGAATAAGCTTTACTTCAACCTCTACTCTTCAAGTACTATTCCACATTCATAAAAGGAGAGAGATTGTATTAATAAAAACATGAATCTGGCTTGATAGAATGAGGGACATTCTACAGATGACAACCTGACAGGAATTTCATCTTTTTTCTTGCAAAGCAACATGTTACTAAGAGCCCACATTACTCCAGGACAGATTAAGACATCTCTATAACAGTTAATAAAAAGAAGTTTAAATAACCTAGTATCATTTGAGTGTTGTTGGGATCTGTTTCTGTTTGCAAAGCTCCTATAAGTATATTCACAAGCCTCAGCTTCAAGGAAAGGAACGTTACGGGTTTATCATACGCCGAGCTGTCATCGTTGCTGAATTTCCCTTCCAGGACAACCTGAAGGAAAAATACATTTATTTCAGTATCAGATAGAGATCCCACCAGCATGTTATAGATTTCAAAAGGTTCAAAATCATGTTATAGATTTCAATATCCACAGCCCACAGTGCTACTGGCACTTTGTAATGCAGTCTCACCAGAACTTGCTGGAAGAGTTTTAGAGCTAAACCAAACCCCAGATACAACCCCCAAGTCATCCAAACCCCACTCCAAAACAACCAGGAACACAGAAATGGAAATGCAAAACAGAGTGGTAGGTTTACTACCTCAGACTTTATGGTTCCAAAATGATGAGGGAGAGGTAACAAAGACAGCAGGATGTTAATCGAAGCTCTTCTTAGTTCTGTGGGGTTTACATAGATTTTAAACTTCGAGAGTTCTCTGCAAATCAAAGCGTCATACAGTTAATCAACCTTTCAGAGGAATTTGGAGCCAAATTTAATTAAGTTTAAATACACAGCCACTCAATAGTCTTAAATAATCTGCAGTACACACTGTAGTATACAATGTTCTTCCTAGGCATAGGAGTTTTTTTTATTTATTTTTTTTTAAAACAGCAGCAATAACACAATGAATGCATGCAAGAACCATCACTTGCTAAGGATTCTGCACCCCATACACAAGCAATGAGCTGATGAATGCATTACTCATATACTGCATCTTCAAAGCAAGAAGTTTTGGTCATGAGTCTCTGCTGGCTTATTACAGCTCAAACCCACCCAGAGATCTGCAGAACAAGCTCCCGCACATATTGCATGAGCACAAGCTGCTTAGCAAATAGATCTACTTTGTTTGGTAGCCATCAGCAAGTTCTGCTACTTTTAAGACCTATCCAAAAGCAGCAGTGGCTCAGATTTAAGCCCAGAAGATAAATAATATTTTATGCATAACTTCAAAATAAAATGCAGTATCACAACAGAAAACCTATGTTGAAGGAGGCATGCACAGAGTAGCATTAAGTGTCTTAAATTACTTAGCAAAACATCCAGGAATCTATAAAGCTCTGTCACGTGAGGTTGTATCTTCTGGTTTAAGAATCTGCTCCAACTTCACCAGCCTGTCTAAATTATGAGTTTTCCTATTTAATGATGTGTAAGATTAATCTCAATGAAATCACTGCAGCAACAGCCACTGATGAATACCCTGTGAAATTTTACTTAAAGATCACTAGGCTTTCAATATGTTTGAGCTAAATCACTCCTTTTCCCTACTCTTGCAGATACTGCTTTCCATCAATGAATATTCAGATAGCGGGAGCTCATAAACTCTAATTTCCAATTTTATTTAATGCTATTTTCTTTAATAATAGTGCTTATTTTAAATTAAGTAAGTGACTTGTGTTATTATCACCACATACATACATCATGTGGCCCAAATTACAGAACTCCTTCAGTGAGATGACAGAAACACCAGAAGATACCCACCTCCCCACATTTCCAATGATGTTTATATGGAAATAGCAATTTACCTGTCAGGTAAAATAGTTTCAAGAGCCGAAATGAAATAAGGAACCACAACATCAATCCCTTTCAGGTCACAGCAGAAGAGAGGAGGGGAGTTTAGAATAACACTGGCAAGAACAGGGTGGCAAACGAAATCCGCTATCTGCAACCCCTGAATTAAAAGCATGTAAAATCTGACAAAGAAAGATAAGATTAAATTATTCGCACATAAAAAGCATCAGTAACTCACAAGGACAAGAATGTGCAGTCACTTCTTGATCTTTTCTATATAAAATTTAGTAAGTTTCAAAATCAGAGCTAGAAAATATCATGAGCATCCGCACCAAGTTACTTTAGCCCAGGCAAATATCCCTAACCAGCTGAACAAAAATCCCTCACAAATCACATCTATTTCAGGTGAAAAGCCAGTGCAGCACAGTTTTACTGAAACCTCTGACCTGCTGCAACACGTGGAGCTCTGCAAACACAGCCCAGATGGCTACTAACAGCACCCGATCAGGTGCTCTCCCACCACTCCCTTCCCCATGAAAGGATGGGAGCAAGACCTTGATTTTAACTCCACAGCAAGAAAAATACCAAAAAATCTTTCAGGAAGGGGGTGGAACAGGACAGGACACACTGAGCAGTGATATGGAAATGCAATCAAACCACCATAATAAATAGTTCAAACAAAAAACCAGGGGGGGCAGGCACCTAGCTGGCCCCCATCCTAAAGGAGTTAGTTTCTTCCACACTTTCTTTTTGAGAGTACTTATATGCCCTTTATTTTTTTCAAAAGGCTTGTAAACACAAACTATAATCTATATGCAAAACACTACAACATGCAAGAAATAAAATAGTTTGGTCTTCAAGGAAGTTTTGATGTCATCTGGGACAAGTGTGCCTGAAAAGTTGAGAGAGTCATGATTTAAAGTTGATTCTTTGCCTCTAGCCTTTGCTATTTCCCTTTTTAACAAAAATTTAGAAAAAAGGTACACTATGATAGATCACCTTATTTTATTAGAAAAAAAAAATGAAAACAGAGGTAGTTCAGAGCACAACAGTTTTAAATAATTAAATATAGAAAGGCAGTAATATTTCAAGGATAAAAAAAAAAAACAACCAACACATTCCACGCCAGTGTTGTGGCCTTTGAGCATGTAGGACCCTTCACGGTCTAGTAACACGTACAAAGTCTTATGTCTGCACACTCACTCTTTGCACCAGAACAATTCTGAGAAACAAGAATACAAGAGACAACAAAGTGTCCAAAAGACAATGTTCCTTCCAGCTGGGAGGCACTTCGAGGCACTTCCCTTCAACTGGGACTTGAAGACAACCCAGTGAAAACCAGTGAAGGAAGATGACAAGGAAATCGCTCCTCGCTTTAGCCAGGGACCCCACCCACACCATCTGAAGGCTAACCAGGTGTTTCCTGAATTGGCACATCAGGATTCAGCCAGTAACTGAACGCTGTTCAGTTTGCACCATGAAGTCACACCCCAACAAAGCAACCGGAAGGCGGTTAGTACCGGGACAGGTAAGCTGGCAGGATCTCCTCCCCGGTCTTCTTGCTGCAGAATATCCTGCAGAGCGTGCCGCACGCCTCTGCCCTGCCCGCCTCGTAGTTGTCGGGGAAGTCGCCGGCCTCGAGGGCGGGGTTGGAGGCCAGGGTGTCCGTGGACAGCTGGGAGCCCTTGCGGCGCAGCTCCGCGCCCGCCTGCGCGGCGATGGCTGGGGAGAGAACAGACAGCGATTGGTGCGGCGCCGGCGCGCGGAACAGGCTCATGGGACCCTGGACACAAAGATCAAGTCGAATTTAGGAGTTATCATGAAGCTGTTAGTTCACTAGATTTGAGTCAGTGCCTCCGTTTAGAAAGTGTTTGTGGGTATAACTAACTTGTTTCTTTATGAGGATGACAATAATTGACCTTCATATTCTAGAGCCTGTCCCAGCTTGCTGCTGGGAAGAGTACAACTATATGCAGTATTAGATTCCAACCCTCTCTGGAGGACAAGGATCTTCCCTCACCTAGTCCTTATCTCCAGAAAAAGGAAGTACCACCTTGCCTTGCCACCTTAGAATAGAAATAAAAACCCCAAACATTTAGCTGGTTCCATTACTGCAACCTCCAAGCAAGTGCTTAATTTTCAGCGGGCCAAGTAATCTCTGATGCTGCTCTGAACATCATGTTCCTTTGAGCCAATTTTGATACATAAACATACTTATTAAAAGGAAAAGAAAAATCAAAAAATTCTAACAACTCTCATCAGAAAGAGGTTTACTGAAACACTCTCTCCTCACATGACTACTGAAACTGGCAAATAAATCTGAGATCCACAAAGGCCTCTCAGGAGCCTGCTGTGACCTCAATGGGACATGGTTCTGCTGAGCTTTGTGCCCCTGCCTGCAGGAGGGTTCTGCAGGCCCAAGGCAGTGGGATTCATGTCTCTCTAGAGAGATTTCTGCTTCCTTGTCACAGATCAGTATCGCGTGCACACGATGCAGGAGGCTACTCACTTTGCCAGCTTCATCCTCTCCTCCAGGATGGCAACTAAAAAAAAGATATGTGGCTCTCAATGTGATACCTCACCCACCCCCCTCCTTTGTTCCTCGGACAATTTCACTCTTGGATTACTAAGGATAGAAACAGCACGTTCCTTCTTATTTTTAGCTAAGACTCTATTGATTTTCAAAAATTTTATAAGCTACTAAACCAAACAACAGATAATGTGTGGTCCTAACAGGATCATGCCAATGGAGTTCTACTAATACCAGAGAACTTCCTCTACCTCAAGGAGAAGCTTGGGACACTGAAGAAGACCAGATTCACAATCAATCTTGCAAACAAAGGCCCAAAATCACTTCAGCATTTGGAATACTTGCAAATTTACAGGTGGTGATGAGGTTGTTTTTAATCTTAATTTTTTTTTTGTCTTTAAATTCATCATTTAACCTGTTACCTTACAAATTTTTGTGACATAAGTAGCAAATAAGCACAAATCTTTATGCATCTTCCCATGAGCCATTTTTTGTCCTAAATAAGCTATCCAGCAATATATTGTAGTTGGAAAAAAACACTACATGCACAATGCATACAAATCAAACACTAGGTCTGTAAAATAAGCTTTAAGTAAAAAAAAACATGGTTAGTGCAAAGTCCTGAAACTCATGGCATGATCACAGACTAAAGTACAGAAAAGATGGGACTGATTCAGGCAGATTAATTTGCTTTTGCCAACAATCCTCCCCATTCAAAAACACACACAAAAAAATTACTTGTCTTTTTCAAGTAAAAGTGCAAAAGCTACAAGAGACAATGAGAATGAATTTACAAATAAAATATGGGATGATGGAGAAAGAAAAGCATGACCGCAATTAAGGAGAAGCTACTGGTTCCTACTTACAAGATTTATAAGAAAGAAGAATTTGGATAAAAGATGCTGCAAGATAATAGAAATAAAATGGAAACAAATCAAAGGACAGCAGTAGTTATAAAATACTTTTAAGATGGTGAATTGTAATATAAGTTAAGAAGCTTTTAGCTTTTTTAAAAAATAGATTAAAAGCTTTATGATACAGCAAGCTCGTTAAACACATAGGAAATTGGCATTCAGGTCCAAAATTATGGTTTGAAAGTACCATGCAAAACAATGAACAAAAAGTTACAAAATACTAGTAAGATTTAGAGCTGTTCTTACCAATGTTCATCTGTTCTTTACATGGATGTATTAACCCTTCCCAGCTCAAGGACCTCTCTCTCTGTTGCATTAGGCTGTCCCAAGGGTACTTACCTTGGAGTCTCCTCACAGCAACACTCCTGCTTCCAAACTGTCACTTCCTGGCAGTGTTACAGCTCTATCTTCCCTAAGCCCAGTTGCTAACAACCAGTACACCCAAGTGTGCCTCCCCTGACCACCAGCTCAACCAACAACCTTCCAAAGGAGACATCAAAGGCAGAAGACTACCAGAAATATCAACACCCCAAAAACAATCTCTAGAGAAAGAAGACAGACTCCAGTCACGAGTACCAGGACAGTGCCACCACCTTGTGAGAGCTGCTGCTTTGAATGTGCAGGATCAGATCAAGACCTGTGACCAAGCCCATTGGCAATACTCAAGATGTCCCTCATCAGGGCTTCTTAGAGTTTGCTCCTAGCCCAGAACCTTCTTTGGGACATTAACATCAAAGACAGTAGGGCCATAAGAGATGATGGCAAAACTACACCCCAAAACTTCCTCACTGCCAATAGCCCCTGGGTGATGATACCAGACACCTGCCCAGGTGGGACTCCTTTAGCTGCTGTAAAACACCCAGCTGGCAGGCTTGTGATGGGCTTCTGTAGGCACCAGAATTAACAATGAGCCCAGCAGACTGGAAGATGCAGCTGCTAAAATGCTGGCACGTGTTCACTAGTTTCTCCTAATTCTCACAAGTTGTTGAGGACACCAAGTAGCAGCAGCATGCACTGCAAGGCCAAGCTTCTCTAACTGAAACACATCCTGCCACTGAAGTTACTCAGCACATGCACACGCCCCCAGAGCCATCATATTCAGGGCTAGCTTCATACGGCCTTCAGAAGGAGTTTCTCAGGAAGATGGTTTCTCAAGTACCAATCACAGGGAGCTATTTATGCCACACTAACAGCTAAATAAATATCATGCAGCCATCTAATTCTAAAGACTACAGCAGCAGGATCTAGTGCCTTTCAAACAGATCATTTTTCCTCTCACCACAAATAGAGTGATGTTCATTTGCTGCCTGCTATGAACTGATAAAGCTTCACCCTCAAGGTCTTGGTGCAGAAACTAAAACCTGGCATGGGGCACCTGAAGCACAGAAGTGTGACACCAGTGATGGCAAGAACACTGGTTTGCTTCCCAATCCAAACACCACCACAGGACTACCTTGAAGGACAGGGCTCCAAGAGCAAACAGGAAGACTGCTTTTCAGGTGATGAACTCCAGCAGTACTCAGCCATATCTAGGTGACCTCCAGCTGATCTTGTGGGAGAGAAAATTCTTCCTCTTCCCAAAGAGAGAGTGACAAAACCATGGCAACCACAAACATGAAATAATTACAATTATTCTGATTCATGCGAGGGTTAGTACAAGAAGTTCACCAATGAAGATGACAGAAAACTGACCAACAGTGGGGCAGCAGTTATACTGACAGAACCAGAGAAGAGCTGAGGCTTGGGGGGACCACTGGAGATTATCCAGTCAGCACCCTCCCCCCACCAAAACAGGGGTCACTGGAGCAAGCTCCATTACCCTTCCACCCATCCAGACATTTATCTCAGAACCTACAAAAAGCTCCACATTTTTTCCATCAGTTATTTTTCTCTGTCTTCCTTTCTGGAGGTTAAAGAGTTCAGGATATGTGAGGCTCGAGGAGGAGGAGGAGGAAAGCAATGTCACATGGCAGAGGATGAATAAGAAACACACACTAGAAAAAACAGTGTTCCAGAAAGGTGTCCCTGGGCAGGGGATCTCTGCAGGACCAAGCAGCCATCTGTATTAAGATATTTCACCTCTTTTTCAAAAGGGGTCAGTCCTCCAGCCAGCAATGGAAGAGAAATCATACCAGAGAGCTATGAGAGAAGAAATTCTTAACTGCATGGCACTGAAACAAACTGAACATTAGAAAGGTTTAAAGCTGTTGCCATCTTATACAGCTGCAGTCCCAGCACGAGAAGAAAGCCAGTGCCTGTGAGCCCAGGGGAAGCCAATGCTACCTAGCAAAGCTGATTGTAACTGCAGACACAAACTGTTTAAACTGTTTAGTTTTGTATAAAAATTCTAGTGCTTCCTGAAGCTAATGCCAAGATTATCAACGGCAGTGTCAAACATGGTAAGAATATTCAAGCTAGTGGCAAAAATACTACTGTGCCAGGCTACAGAGGATAGCAGATGGACCATGACATACAGGTACAGACGACCCGCAGCCAAAAAGCAGCATGTTTATTTTTGTCCTCTTTCCTAAGGGGAGAAGCTGGGGCAGCTAACTGTCCCTCCAGCCACATCTGCACTGGGTAGCATGCGCAGAGGCAGGTGGACAGACACCACATGCAGATCTGAGCATTACCAATGGGCCCCACTCATGGGATGGAGGGGGCCCACATTACACAGCCCTCCTGGCCCACCACCTCAGTGCAGCACAGCACCTCAGCCTTACACTGTTGGAGGAAGAAAAGACTCCATATGCAGGCATCAGGCTTCACAGATTAGACTCCCAGAACAGAAGGTTCTCAGTTTGGATTTAAACCATATTTAAAAGACACTGGTGCTTCAAGTGAACAGAAACTGCAGAAGTCTAGATCTTTGCAAGTCTTGCTACACTTTCTCACCTAAAGCAGAGGCTATGCAGAAGGACTTACCCAAAACCATAAATCAGGCAATCAGACTTTGGTGCCTCTCTACAGAGTTTCAGCCAGTTTTCTGGGCCTCCACCAATGTAACTCCCTCAGATCCACTGCTGTTAAATGGCAGAACGTGTGACGTGCTAGGTTCTGCTGAGGAGCGTGGAGGAGGAACAGAATCAAGCAACTTCCAAAGAGCTATTTCTGCTTTTCAGGAAGCTAGTAAGTCCTCTGAAAGGCTAGCTCTATGAAAATTTTGACTGCTCTTAGGCAACAGGGTGCTTCTGCTGGAGTCACAGCACCTCTGCTTACAGCAGACACTGCTGCACAAGCAGCATCTCCACTGACACCCTTTCCAGCTCATATACACCCCATTAAAATTGCTCAACACACAGGTTATGCCAAAATTAAAATGACACAGTCAGTCTGAAAAGCATTAAATACAGAGATACATTAGATGCATATGCAACTGAACACCCTCAAATTATGCCTTACTCCTGCCCAAGCTCAGCTGTTTCTCTAGTAGTGTGTCATTGGCCTTTTGCAGGGGAACATCAACCTCCTACCACCGAAATCCACAACTGAACACTTTGAAAAAACATGTGCTGCATACCTAAGAATGCCCTTAACAGATCCCCAATCCTAAACCCCTGGCCTCCAGGGGGATTTGTGACCCAGCAAACGAGGGAGATCATCAGTTTAACTGCTGGTGTCAGGTCCCACTATAAACCCAACCTGCTACAACAAACTTCCTCCACTTTCCTTACTTAGGCCAGTGAGGGCCTGTGAATGATCTCCTGCAAGACTTCAGCAGACATTCCAAATACTACATGAAGAACCAGGAAAACGCAAGGTGTAAGGAAGCTTATTCTTTTCTGGATATTATCACCAAAAGAAGAAAAGTGCTAAAAGAGCCCCTCTGAGCAGAGCACTGATTCTGCTATCATGTCTCAAAGCACCCACCCTCTGCAGCTGAGCAAAGCACAGGAGACAAAATGAATCTTGTAGTTAAGGACTAAAGACAACCAAGGTATCAAGCCCAAAACGGAAACACGTTGCAATTGTCACTGAAAGGCAACAACTCCATTTGCCATTTTAACAACTTCTGTTTTTACAAGACTCTCCAAAACTCCACTTTGTGCAGTACTTGGAGTGACATTTGACAATTTTTCAAACATTGAAGAGTCACTATAAAAATTTGCTATTACTCAGGGATACTCAAGCAGATTTTAAATTAGGAAGGGGCCTCATCACATTATTATATATAATAAAATTTTCCCAACTAGCATAATTGAGACTGCCACACTTGTTAGAGCAAGGGCCTGTTAAATAGTAAAATATGTTTTTTTAATTTTAAAGGCCCCAACCATGTGCTTGGCTAATAACAAGTGCTGGCTCAGCTGGGAGGGGTTAACCACAATACAGCACCTCAGTTCACTGGGGCTTTTCGATTATGCATATGTTAATCTTGCAGGTAGGAAATGTCAATAAACAAGGAGAAAAGTGTACATATGTTTTTCAGTAACACTTACCAGTCATGCTGCTGTCTCTGTTTATTCCATTATGAAGTTTACAGTGAACAAACGCTGCATCAAATAGCCATGAGCCAAAGAGGTTCAAGATGCTGTTCACTTTCGGCCTGCGAGGAGCTGGCAGTGGCCGCGGCTCCGAGCTCGTCTGATTCGGGCTAGAGAGTGGAGAAGTAGAGGAGGGTTGGTGCTGCACTTTGGACGTATGTGCAGTCGTTACCTATGTGAACAGAAGGACAGGTCAGCTCCTAGAAGCAAGGACGCTGCTTCCTCGGGCCGGGGAAGCGACCGGGAGGCTGAGCTGCTCAGGGGCAGGAGGTGCAGCCTTACGGTGCTGGTCTTCATGGTCGCCTTGTTGACGGTCACGGCCCGGTGCCGCCGGTTGTGGGGTGGGGTGGTGTTGGTAGCAGTGTTCTGGGGCATGCTCAGCCTGTTGACTGGCGTGGGCGGCGCGCTGTCCGACCGGGGCCGTGAGATGCCTGGAGATCAAGAAGTAATGCAAGCTTTCAGCAAAATTCCACAGGCTTACACACAGCAGTCCAGCTCGTAAGCCTCCGGCCTTCTGCAGATAGACTGGCAGCCCTCCTCACCCCCCAGAGCAGCACTAGTTGGAAAACCATATTTCCACTTTTACTATTAAATGCACAAGCGAAACAAACCCCTCACATTAGCTAGGCAAGTGATTCCAACCACCACAGAACCATGTGGGAAAGGGCACATGGGAGGACCAAGTCCAGAAGCAGGCAGAGGGAAAGGGGCAAGGGTCATTTGCCCAAGCCAATTTAACAGCTCCCTCCTGCCAAACTTCAGACACTTCTCACCTTTGCCTTTCTTTCCCAACCATACCTTCCATGCCCTGTTCTGAAACACTTTCATCTGCCCCCTCAAAGCCAACTTAGCTCACTAAATTAAGATGAAACCCATCATCCACCATACAGTCTGCCCGAGCACACCCCAC